ACTACCTGAGCTAACTTGAAAAATTTATCTTCTATCTCTGAGGTTCTTTCTTCTCCATGGTCTAAGGTATTTTTGATACTTTCTACTGCATCTTTACATCCCCCAATTGTCTCTTTCATTTCCTTAAGCTCGGCCACATTTTTTCTATATTGTACATATCTCTTGTTTGACTTTTGCTTTGGTCTTTCCATTTTCTCATCCATTCCTTTTATTGTCTTTATTATTCATGTTTTAAATTCCTTTTCTGTCAAATGCATTAATTCTTTATAAGTGGAGTCTTTTGCGGTATCTGCCTCATGTTCACTTGGAGCAGTTGCTCTGTTTTGGTTTTTCATGTTGCCTGAATTTTTCTGTTTGTTCTTCCTCATTGGTTCTTTCTTCTTGTTCACCTCCTTGTGTGCCTTCTTCCTTCTCACTTCATCCTTTGTTTCAAATTACCTCATCTCAGAGCTTTGGTCAAAAGGAAGAGAAGGGTAAAGTGCAGACAGGGAGAAATAAGAGGAAAAGAAATTTAAAAAAGAAGGAAATCAAAGAAGAAAAGAAAAAGCAACAATGGGAAGTGGGATGAATGAAAAGAATTGAAGAACAGGAGAGAATGAGGACAGAAAGAAAGAATCAGAGTGATATAATAAATGGTATTGAAGGACTGCACCTGTAATTCAAGGATTTTGAGGGGCTAAGCTGGGTGAGTTCCTCAAAATCCAGAGCTTCCTACCAGCCTGAGAAAAGCCAAACTCTTCCTCTGCCAAAAATTGGAAGAGAAAGGAGCAAAGACTAAAAACAAGAAGTAAAAAATAAATAAAAATGAAAAAGAAATAGAAAAATTCTAAAGTGTTGACTTGCCAATACTGTCTTCCCAGGGCCAAACATAGATAGGCTCCCTAGACCATGAAATCTTGGCTTCCTTGAGCCATACTACTGCGATGACATCCCCAGCAGACCACAGTCATTCTACCCCATCACCCAGCAAAAAAAAAAAAGAAAAAAAAAAGGTGAAAAATAAAAGGAAAAATAATATTAACAAAATAAGAAAAGTTAAAGAAAATTAAAAATACCGTTATATCAAATAAAGGAGAGAGACAGAAAAGGAAAAAGGAAAGAGAGAAGAAAAAAAAGGAGGTGATATCTTAGCTGTTGCATAAGCAATTTATGTGGGAAAAATGAGGAAAGTAAAGAGTCTATATTTAAAAAGAGAATGAAGATGAGTGAAATAGAGAGAGAAAAGTAATAAGCCTAAAATAACATGAAATAACAAGAAATATAGGAGTCCTTACTCTTGAAGAAAGTAAAAATGGAAGTTAAGATTAGAACAAACCAAACAAATTAGCAGAAATAAAACACAAGAAAAGAAATCAAAAGAAGCTCAAATAGCCAAAACAGCAGCTACCTCAACAACATAGAAAAAAAGAGACAAAAAAAGTAAAAAAAAAAAAAAATAAAAATGCTAATAAAAATGTATACATATATGTAGCAGAAGGGACCAAGCGTTAATGGGAATATATATATCGCAATGTGTCCCCAGGACACTAGGTGGTGCTGTGGTTTCCTTAGGAGATGGAGAACACAGCCAGCAACTTCTGTGATGCTTATTCATAACTTAGTTGCCCTTGGTGGTTACCTGATTGTTTTCTCAGCATTCTACCCCACTGGGTTGGGATCTTAAATCTCTCCAGAATCCTTCAGGGGCAGATCTCACTGTGCCTGCTGACACCAGTTCCCATGGGGTATGGGAGTCCCTCAGCCTGTCCCTGATCCTGGCAGGCAGAATTTAGACAGCCATGCTTTAGGCCCTTGCTAAGACTTTTTCCTAACCTTCCCATAATGGCAACCCCCTGGCTGCCTAGACCTTCCCAGTATGGCTGCCTTGCTACCCTTGAGACTAATGGCAGATCCAGTCTAAATGGTATTCCAATCTGGTTGCTGTATACTCTTTGAGTTTGCCTGCTCTTCTAAGCTTTCCACTCAACTCACAGTTTCCCCCTCAAACCAAAATCTCCTGATGGGTTTCCTCCCATCCTGGACCTCTGTGGAAGGGTGGCCAATCCAAATGGGTGGCAATCACTTGCCTAATAGGTCAGATTTCCACTGCTGTGGATCACACACTGTATGTGGCTCACCACCACGTCACTGGTGGTGTAAGGTCTGGATTGCCATCCAGGTATGGCTGGATTCTCTCTTTTTTTCCCAAACTAGGAAAACTCAGCTGAATGATCCTCTGCTCTGCCAACTTGCTCTGCCCCCATAAAATTCTCAACTACATTCCTTGATGCTCTGGAAACATGACTTGGAGTTGAGGAAAAGCTTCTAAGATTTCACTGAGACTGAAGACTAATACAGGCAAAGGGCAAAGAATTTCAGATATATGGAATGAGATGTGCTCAGTAGCAGAAGGTAACATGAGAAAATGTTTGGCTGGGAGTTAGAGAGGAAACAATAATGGTGGGAGAGAAGGTTGGAGAGAATGCCAGGGGCCAGAGGACTCTAGGTTTTATCAAACCATTAAAGATTTTGGTCTATTTTAAGACTAATTGGAATCCATTGTACTATCTTTAATTTGGTTGGTAGGGGAAGTGGATAACAGGACAGATTGATTTGAAAAGATCTACTCTAGATGCAATGTGAACAATAATTTGGAAGGAAATCAACATGTATGCAGAGGGTTCAGTTACAAGGCTCTTCTGCTAGGTCGGCCTCTGTGGGGCCCCCACTGGCATGCCAGATAGGTCTCATCAGGGTGATTGGTCTGTTATGTATAAGCATCAGGGTAAACTTCACAAAGGCAAATATTGTGGGTTAAGGGGTAGGCTTTATTGATGAAGATAAAAATTTAGAGGATCAGGACAGTCAGAAAAAAAATCACAGGTCCTCCATCCTCTTGTCATCTTATGTCAAGCCAAGGCCCTGAGCACTGCTGGGTGTCAACAAGGAGAACATACTTCCCTGTTTTCCATAGGGCAAAAGGGAAGAAGCAGTGTTGTCAGTAGGGGGATACACAAACTGCTGAGCAATGGTCAGTTTGGATTTGGAGTGCCAGTGGTTTGTAAAGAATTGTCTGAGAATGCCAGTCACCCATGGAATGGTATAATCTTCCTTGCTAGAGTAAACAAGTCCCAAGGGAACTTCAGTTTGCATTCAACCCCTTCTTCTAGGAGAAATGGAAACCCCCAGCTCCAACTAGCTCATTGTCCAAGCAATACAGAATGAACTGCCAAGGTCATAGTTTGATAGTCCTGCTCATTGCACTATAGGCACTGCTGCAGGAATCTTCATGAAGGGTGGCAAGCTTTTTCTGTAAAGGACAAGGTAGAAAATAGTTTTAACTTTGAAAACCAGATGATCTCTGTTACAAGTACTTAACTCTGCTTATGAAGCTGTAGACAATATGTAAACAAACGAATATGTCTATGTTACAATAAAACTATATTTACAAAAATTGATGATGACCCATATTTGGCCCATGGGCCATAGTTTGTTGATCCCTGTTCAAGATAAGAGATGATGGTACCTAATGATTTTTTATAAAGATGTAAAAATAAGTCAATGAGGGAAGGAATAGCCTTTTCAACAAATGATACTAGAGCAACTGGAAATCTACCAGTAAAACAATAAACTTTAATCGAAACTTCATACTTTTTGCAAAATTTACTATAAGTGTATCAGATCTATGTGTAAAATCTAAAACAACAAAACTTTTAGAAAAAAACACAGAAAAATTTTGTTATCTGGAGTTAGGCTAAGAGTCCTTTGATATAACACACACAAAAGAATCTATGAAAGAAGAAAACGTGATGATCAGATATTATCAAAATTAAACATGTTTCTTTGCTAAAGCGAGTGTCAAGATAATTCATTAAAAGGTAATCACAGACTGAGAGGAAATACATGTATTTGCAAACTACACACCCAGCAAAAGGTTTGCATGCAAATACATATGGAATTCTCTAAACTCAACATTAAGGAAACAACCAAATTTTATAAATCAGTAGGCAAAATATCCAACATACACATCACCACTGAAAATTCATGGATGGAATATAAGCACCTGAAGATGTTCAATATCATTAGACATTAAGGAAGTGTAAATGAAAACTATAATGAAATATAATTAGAAATAAATGCCTAAAATAAAAAAATTACAATATGAAATGCTGACAAGAATACAGAGCAACTATAACTCTTACACACCTGTAAGTCTTACACACTGCTGATAGTAACAGAAAATAGTATAGTCACTCTGGAAAAGAGTTTGACATTTTTTAATAAAGTTAAACTTACACATACTACATGATTCAGTAATCACACTTTCCTAGAGAAATAAAAGCTTATGTTTACACAAAATATTTACATTAGTGTTTATAATAAATTTATTTGTAATCACTAAAACCTAGAAACAGAAACAACCCAATTATCCTTTAATGGATGAGTGAATGGTTTAAAAAAATTGTGGAATACCACACAGCCATAAAAATGGGAGAGCTGTTGATACATGTACGAACTTGGATACATCTCAAAGGCATGCTGAGTAAAATAAGCCAATCTCAAAAGGTTACACACTGTATAATTTTATTTATATGACATTCTTGAAAAGAAAGGAAAAAACTATGATGATGAACAGATCTGTGGTTGCCAAGGAAAAGCTAAGGTTGGAGAAGGTGTCACAACAAAGGAATAGTGGGGAGATTGTTTTTAAAATTTCAGAATAATGTAAGGGCGCATACAGTTAGGTTGCATTGTTTGCATTTGTCAGGTAAAATCTAACTTGCTATTAAACCTGTCACCCTGGAGGGTGCGATTTACCTCTACATTGTACCCAATAGATGAGAGCTTGCCACACCTCCTCCCCCCTCCCCCTTTTTGAATTTAAATGAGTTTTTCTCTCATATGTGCATGTGGTTGTTCATGTACCAGTTTCACATTAATATTGAGTACACTGGATGCTTGCTTTTTCATTCTTGTGATACTTTACTTAAGAGGATGTTCTCCAAATCCTTCCAGGTAAAAAAAATATGGAATGCTTTATGAATTTGTGTGTCATCCTTATGCAGGGGCCATGCTGATCTTCTCTGTGTCTTTCTACTTTAGTTATATGTGCTGCTGAAGCAAGCTCACAGGACAGGAGATTTTTATGGGATGATGGAGCTTTTCTGTATCTTGATTGTGGTAATGGTTACCCAAATGTACACATGTTAAAATTCACCCAAAGTCAATTTTACTTTATGTTAATTTTAAAAATAAAATAAAATAACCCCAAGTTTGTGAATAAGCAATGATAGCTAGAGTTGTCACAATTCAACCAATAAAACAATTTAGTGTTTCTATGATAATTATTACCAGAATAAGTGCTCATGTTAATTGCTTTTATTTTGTTGGTAAGCAGTTTCCAAATCCTTTTGTATTAACCTGGATGGAGTTGATGATACTTAGTAAGGTATCACAAGAATGGAAAAGCAAGTATCCAATGTACACAATACTAAATTAGCAATTCTTAAAATGATAATAACCAATACTTTGGGGGTGTTTTTAATGTTTTGAAACATTCTGAAAAAAAAGTAATTGAGTCTAACTTGAACAGGGTCACATGATAAGGAAAATACCCTATTTTAGAAATTGAACAGAGGTTTGTGTTCAAGCTCCCATTCTAGCTCCCATTTTCCTTCCCAGTGTCCTTGAACAGGCATTTGTTGTCCTGTCCTGTGGCGTTGATGACTTCCTAGTAGCCAGGAGGGTCACACACTAGTTTCCTGAGCAGGAACTCAGTTGATTGGGACAGGCAGTATCCAAACTCCCTTTTATGAAAGAGATTCCTTGCTGCTCAGAGGAGAAAAAAGAATCACTTAGAGTTAATTTTAGAGCGAATTAATAATATCAACAATAGTAATTACTAATATGCATTGCTATTCTTTTAAGTCAAATTATATGTTGCTATAAACCAGACCTAAAATATGACTTTCTCTACTGGTGAAAATCTTAATTAAAATGATGTATTTTAATATACTTTTGGAACATGATATAAATTATTCCTCAGTACCTCAATTTTTGTATTCTTCCCTTTAATAATCTTTTCTGTGCAGTGTTAAAGAGGAAGAAAATTGGTAATTAATAAAGGAGTGAACAGGTGGCTACACTGCTTCTAAAAGATCAGTAGTGTAATAATTTCTTAATTATTATTATGCACTGTAAGGGTTTTTAAATACATGATGATGTATTTCCTTCTACTTCTGGCACCCTATAGCTAGTGGCATTACATTTCATTTCAAATAATAATTAATAAGAACTGAGGTATCTCTATACATTTTATTCCTCCTGTTTTAGTCTCTTAAGTAACCATTCTGTCACATTTGTTATGCAAATGCTGCAGCGCTGCATGTAATTTCAGCAATATGGGAGACCCCTCTCACAATGCCTTGAAGTACTTTTTTTGAATTAACATTTTATTCCTGAAAGCAGCATTTTTCATATGCCTTTCAAAGAAGCAGATGAAAGCTGCATAATTGCTATGTTTTCATCAAGGTGAACAAACCAATGAAACATTGAAAGTATCAGACAATGAAGGGGAAAAATAAGCTTGTCTTTCCTCTGGCACGCTGGTGTCTGTGAAAGGGTGCTAACTGTACAATTAGATGCAGAGTACCTGCCATCTCCTTAATAACCACCCACTTAGTCGGATAAGTGTCCTGCCTGTCCAGATAAGGCATGTGTTTGATTAAGGGAAATCATTCAATGTAAATGCTGGCCTATGTAGCCAATCAAAGACAGAGTCAGCTTGTCTATTATGGATCTGTCAATCTTGTCTGTTTGCTTATTAAAGTTTCTTTAGCAAACCCAGTGGCCTCCCTTTGGTATGCTAAGCAGGCCCAAACGTTGCTAACATCTTGGAGTGAAGTCACCAGCCTTTGAATGACTCTGAGAGAGTCTACAGGCTTTCCTCAATTTAGCAAAGCGTTTTGTTCCAAAAGTTTGTTTGTAAGTCAGTTGTTTGGAACTTGAGAAGCATTTTTCCCATGGAAACAATGTTACAAATGGTGGGAAGGTTCCCAGGCCAGTTCACAAAAGCCTATTTAATCTAGAATATGGCTGGACTATAGGGCCCATAGCACTAGAAAGCCAATCACCATTAAGATTATTGTTTCTATGGGAAAATGTGCTCCTAGGGCTAATTGTGGATGCCAGAGCAATCCCCCAGCCCTGTCTAGCCTCTGGCAGCTGAAGCCTAGACTCTCCAGGCCAGGCCTCTTTCCTTCAGGCGAAAGGTGGAAGTCCTGGGGGGATTAAATAGGGGTCTCATGAGAGGTCCAGGGACTTAGGGAGAAGATTCTGTAGGGATAGGGTGGCCAGATTTGCAAATAAAACTATTGGGTGTCTAGTTAAAGTTGCCTTTCAGACAATCAGTAAATATTTTACATATATATATATATATATATATATATCCCATGCAATATTTGAGGTATACTTGCCCTTTTTAAAAAGTATTTGTTGTTTATCCAAAATTCCAATTTGATCAGAATCTATATTTTTATTCTACAACCCTAGGTAAAGACTAGAGGCTTGGTTGGTTTGCATGGTTGCAAGGATTCTGAAGCAGACATGTAGGGGTTTAAGAAGGAAGGATAGAATCTTCCAGGTTAGGGAATGCCTCTTTAGGGAAGCAGCAATAAAGGGACATTTCAGATAACTGAGGTTTATAGTCGTCAGTTCAACAATACTTTGGATTGAGCTCTTTCAATTTGATATCTTTCTCAAGCATTGTACTTGCTTCCTTGCCGTCTTGAAAGAGTGAACGTGAGTTTATCATGACAATTTAAGAGTGACATTTTTTACCTTGGGCAAATTGTTTCACTTCTCTATGCCACAATTTCCTCATCTGTAAATGGGGATAATATTATCTACCTCATTGTTTAGTTGTGTATAGTAAATCTGTTAATACAGTATCTGTAAAGGGCTTAGAGTGGTGCCAGGATAACAGTAAGTGCTTTACAGGTGTTGTTTACTGTTGATGTTGTTGTTGTGATTTTATTGTCTTATATTTTACCAACCACCTCAGGAGCAATGAGTTCTGTGGAATTTGTTGTTACAACATTAAATAGCCTCAGATTTTTCTTTTTCTCTGTCTCTCCTCTCTCTTTCTCTCCCTCCCTCTCATAAATTAGCTGTTAACTTTTATCTTTGTCTACATGCTCCATGTTTTTTCAAATCGATGCTTCATTTGTATAATCGATCACATGAAAGCCTGAACTTTGTTATGGCTTTCCAAAGAATGCAATATATAGATTTGGACATACTGCATTTAAAATAATTTCCCTAAACATTTAATAATGTAAATGTTTATTTTACTGCAGAACCCCTATGGTAGGCAGCCTTTTAAAATGACCCTGCTTCAATGATCCTACATTCTGATATTGAGGCTTTTGTGTAATCTCTTCACCTTGACAGACTTAATCACTTGCTTCTAATGAACAATATATGGCAGAAGACTGTGACTTCTGTCTTGCTGGCATTCTCTTATCTTTTTGCTGGCTCACTCTGAGTGAAGCCAGCTACCATGTTGTGAACTGTCCTGTGGAAAAGCCCTGTATGGCAAAGAACCAAGGGAGGCCTCAGGCCAATGTATTACAAGGAATTGAGTCCTGCAATAAACCTCTCAAGTGAATTTGGAAGTGGATCCAGTCCTAGTTAAGCTCTAAAATGATGGCAGCAGCAGTAACACATTGATTCTACCCTTATGAGAGACTGAGCCAAAAGTCTCAGCAAAATTGTGCCCATATTCTTGACCTATAGAAATTTTGAGGTAATGGAGGTATGCTAATTTTTGGCAGTATTCATTATGCAGAAACAGATATAATACTTCCATCTACCTATATTCTACAATTAACCTGTTAATACAGTTGCTTTGTCCCTATACTTGCTGTATCTACTCATATGTCATCTTTCTATTCTATTTAACTGCCAATCTATTCTTGTTTGTTGTTATAATTGTTTTTTATGGCTATATGTCTTTTTTTTTTTTGAGGCAGAGTCTCATTATGTTGCCCTTGGTAGAGGGCCATGGCATCACAGCTCACAGCAACCTCAAACTCTTGGGCTTAAGCAATTCCCTTGCCTCAGCCTCTCAAGTAGCTGGGACTACAGGTGCCCGCCACAACACCTGGCTGTTTTTCATTGCAGTTGTCATTGTTGCTTAGCTGGGCTGGGCCAGGTACAAACCTGCCACCCTCAGTGTATGTGGCAAGCGCTGTAACCACTGTGCTACGGGTGCCAAGCCTTACATATGTTTTTTTTATTTCTAGATTTCTGTCTATGTTAGAAATTTCTAAGGATGTTAGAACACTGTTCTTTGAGTACTTAAAGTAATAAAGTGTTTGATTCTTTCTTAATTATCTATCAAATACTAATTATCCTATAAACTAAGAACATTGTCCAATAATATAACCTTGGAAGATAAGAGGGTAGCCTTCAAACCCCCACCTTACTTTGGGAATCTTTGTATAGTGCCTTCATTTATTCATTCATCTTTTAAAATCCCACATTTAAGATGTTGGTACCTTTTAGTGCTTTGGCCCCAAATTTCATTTTATCATCATTTTCCAATTACTATTGCTGCATAACAACCTACCCTAAATTTATTGTCAAAAAGAAACAATAATTCATTTACTATGCTGAAGGATTCATGGTTCTAGAATTTGGACAGGGCATAGTGGGGATTAGTCCATGTGTTCTGTGGCCTCAGCTGGGAACACATACAGCTAAAGTAACTTGAATATCTGGAGTGTAGAATTACCTGGAGGGCTTTCCACACATGTCTGACACATAGGCTGCAATATCTCGAAAGCTGGACTCGATGAAGCTGTTGTCCAGAGCACCTACATGTAGCCTATCAATATGACTTGGGCCTCTTACAATATGACAGTTATATTTTGAGAGGGAGCATTGAAATGAAGCTTTCAAAGAAACTATGTGTTCTAAGAAAGCTAGGCAGAATTAGCCTAGATTTTATATCCTAGTCTTGGAAGTCCTATAGGTGACTTCTGCCATACTCTATTTTTCAAAGAAGGTACAGCACATCCAGGTTCAAAAGGAGAGGGCATGGACTCCATTCTCAATAACAA